GGCCGCGGGTCGCGCTGTCGCTGCAGGAGGTTGTGTCCTCCCCCCCCTGAGCCCGGGGGGGTTTCTGCCTCGTGCTGCCCGGTTCGGTCTTGTCATAACAAACCGTTCGGGGGGAGGAGCGAACAGGATCGCGCTGTAGGAAAACGTGTTGCTTGTTCAGCGTGTGTCCCTTTGAGTCACAAGGTGGTGGCTCTGATCGGGGTGATTGGCATCTTGAAAGCCGTGGGTGAGTCCTGCTCTGCAACGAGACGTCAGATCAGGAAGAGAATAAGGCAAAAAAACTTCCTTTTGTCCTTGCTGAAGAGCAGGGAGGTTTTTGTTTGGTGTAACCTAAATGTGAGAGAGTCATCCTTGAGGTGGGATGTGATTGTTTAAAAGGATCCATCGGGAACAGCCACAGGGCAGTTGGAGTCAGGAAGGTGGGGAATCCTGTCCAGGTGTCCCTGCTGGCAGCTCAGTTTGGCCTGTCAGGATGGAGGCCACGAAATCCCAGTGATCTGGAGCACTGGATGCCCAGGCCCTTAATCCATTTGGAGTGGTGACTGCACCGGTGGTGGCCTGTGTGTCTGGAGTAGTGTTGACATAAGAAAGAAGGGCTTTTTTTTCCTTTTTGTTTTCCCTCAAATCTCAGAGATAAGGTTTCCCCTGCAGTTGTTCCCTGGGCCAGCAGCCAGGGCTGTCAGTAGCCTGGGTTTTGCTTCTTATCTTCACCACAGGAGGGTGGTAACCTTGGCCAGTAAGAGATGCTTTTGTGTGGGTCTCCCTGCCCAGAAGGTTGGTTGCTTGGTTTGTTGGCTGGTCTTTAAGAAAGATTTCTGTGCAGAAAAACGTGTCACCACTTTTGAGCTGCAGGAGGGAGAGCATGAAAAATGTCAGACCAGTCCCCTTGTTGATAATTCTGACTGAATAACTTCAGACTGTGCATGCAGGACTATCATGGTGTATTTAAACCCACTGTATTTGAAATAAATAAAATATATGGTGCTTTGTTCTCCCCACCCAGATTACAGGGCCTGATAATAAAGGAATTTATAAAGGCGACCGAGAGTCCAGTGGAAAATACACGTTTGCTGCCCACATGGATGGAACTTACAAGTTCTGCTTTAGCAACAGAATGTCCACCATGACTCCCAAGATAGTGATGTTCACTATTGATATTGGGGAAGCTCCCAAGGGGCAAGACATGGAGACAGAAGGTGAGAAAGACTCCTGGAAAGCTCCAGCTCGGGAGCTTTGCATGCACGACTGCTGAACTTGACTGGGACTCCCAGTATTCCTGTTCCTTCAGGCTGTCAAACAGCTGTTCTCATGCACAGCTGAAATGGGTGTGGATGGTTTTAGACCTCAGAACGTTATTTAGTGCCAAATCACCAGAGAATCACTTGGAAACTAATGCTTTCATCCTTTAGCTTCTCATCAGTTCCATTCTCTGAGTTCTGGTTAGCTCAGCAGGTGTAGCTACTCCAGGCATCATTAGTTGAGCTCTTTGATAAATGTGCTAATATAAGAATTTCCTCTTAGCCATGTAAATGACTGTTTTATCTGCAGCCTTTGGTCCTGTACTTGTGTTCATCTCTTACACTTTCCTCTAGGTGGTGGAGATACCTGGGATGGTATGTGTTCTGCTTTTTGAAAGCTCATTAGCATCTTATCTTTTGCATATGTTGATTCACTAACAGCTAACGTTGGCTTTTCCTCTGTAACATTTGTTTGCAGCATGAGAATGTCTTGTTAATAAACTACATCAAAGGTCTGATTCTGAGCAATGCTGAGCACCCACAGGCTCCCATCCAGGGGTTCACAAACCTCCCAGCTCCTGGGATCAGGTCCTTCAACTGTCCCTGACAGTGTTTGTCTTCTGGTGGTTGGTTGTGGCTCCCAGAAGTGATTTAGTCAAGAGTTTGAGGTGAAATTAAACTAAACAACTTATATTTTAGGCAGTGTCTGCTTTCCATTGCTACTGCAGGTGTTGGATAATCAGGGGCTTTTGGAGCTGCTCTTAGGTTATGAATGATCACTAATGTCACCAGGGGACAAACTTCAAACTTGTCATTTGCTGTAAAAGAAAGAAATGAATGTATTTGGGTAATGAGATACAAAGTTTTGGTTAGAAACCACTCGCTGTGGCCAGAAGGGCAATCAGTTCCTGTTTGCTATTTTAGGAAGTGAATAACTGTGCATTGAGGGCTTGATACCACTTTAAAAGTTCCTAAATTTTGATTTTTTTAAAGACTCATTTACATCTTGTGTTGAGTCTGCCCAGACCTGTTGCACAGGATGTCAGTGCAGCTCTGGGATTTTCAGGCCACCACGTTTACTCAAGTTAATATTTTTTTTTTTAGTGGGTTTAAACATTCCCTGCAACTTTAATTTCTCTCCTTCCTAATAAACTGCACTTACTGCAATGCCCACTTGGCCACGAGGGATCTATGGTACCAGCAGAGTGAGTGTGGCTGACACAACTGTTTCATTTGAATTGCAGCTGTAAGAGTCTTATTCTCTGCTCCTCGTTCTGGCTGTTTCCCAGAAAGTGTGTGTTTAAAATAGCTTTCTTTGTTCAGATTGGGATCTGAAACACTTGATTTATAAACAAAACTGTGATAAGGTGGCTTCCAAGCCTTCAGTGGGAAATATATTGGGTTTTGTGACTTTTTTATTTTTTAAAAGAGAGCTGGTTGGCACCTGAGCTGCTCTTGGTGCCACAAAACTGGAAACAGGGCATGTAATTGATACATTTGGATGTGGGCAGCTCTTTGAGCATGAAGGTGTTTAAAAGATCCTGTGACTGACAGTCCAGTCCCTACATCTTGGATCTCTGACTTACCTCCAGCTAGTTTTCTGCTGTCCCTGATTTGGTGTTTTCCTCCTCTCCTGTTCTCATCCCGGACCAGAGCCGGTTCCTGCCCTCCCTGGCGCCGTGGCTGCTGGACTCTGTGCTTCAGCTCAACCAGGAGATCACAAGATGTGATACTTTGCTTCAGAACCTGATCTCATGTTGCCAGCATCATGATCTTAAGCTAAATCCTCAGTCATTCTAGTTTTGCAAGCTTAACAACTAGGAAAAGCTGCCACCTTAAGATAATTTGCTTGGAACCTATTGGACGGTATCAGCACAATAGCTCCTAGCGTGTGGTGTTGAGCTCCTGTGCCCTGATCTGCTGTTTTTCTGGAAAGCTGGGCCCCTGTTGGAAACAAGTGCTCAGTACTCACTCTAAATTGTGTCTTCTGCCTTCTAGTTGGATGTGGAGTTACATGTTTCCCCACTTACTCAATAAATACCAGAAAGCCGTAGGAAAAATGGCACCATGAAAACTGAACTTTGCTGTAAAGATACAAAGTTTTCATCTGCACAGACTCTTTTTCAGAACTTCTGTGACAGGAAATTCAGTTGATAAATTTTAACACGTTGTCTTTTGAGTCTATCACTGACTTTCTGATGCCTCTGCAATTATTCCACAGCTCACCAGAACAAGCTAGAAGAGATGATTAATGAGTTAGCAGTGGCCATGACAGCTGTAAAGCATGAACAGGAGTACATGGAAGTTCGTGAAAGAATACATAGAGCAAGTAGGTGTCTTGATTAAATGCCTTCTCTCCCCTTTAAATGCACTTATTTCAAGGACAAGTCCATGCAAGCTGTTCCAAGTTACTAAAGAAACAGATTTAGAACAAGTTCTGAAGGACCTGCCCATACAATCATGTAGTTGATGTTTGCAGTCTTCTTCAAATTGGCCTCTCATGGAAGAGGATTGTTATGCAAAAGAATCTTGGCTTAATTGGGGTAAATTCTCTAGTTCTTTGAATGAATGGGTTCATGAAGATACCAGTAATTAAATGATTCTAAGGGACAGGCTTTGGATGGACTGTTACTTCATCCTTGAAGTGGGTGGGGCTTTAATAATGGAGCCAAATTTTTTTGGTATTTTGTTGAAATATTTTGTTGTTTCCAAGTGGAGGATATGGTGAACTCTCCAGTCACAGCCCTTGCTTCCTGAAATGCAGCTTTTCAGGACTAAAAGTGCCAAGTGGAGCATCAGGGGAAGCCTAGTGAGAATAAAGGGCAAATATTTTTAATGTGAAAATACAGTGTTATGTTAAAGCCCTGGCACCTCAACTTTGTGAGCTTATGGAAATCTCCAGTTCTGTGACCTTTGTTACTGATGGTCTGACTGGAGAAAATGCTGAATTTTTAGAATCAAAGCTGTTGAACCTTTAGAGATCAGAAATTCCCCACTTGACTTTGAGACCATAATACACAACCATTACTTGCAAAAGGTTCTGTTCGGCTGTTACAAGCTTCTGTCTGGCCTCTTTGAGAGGAGAAGGCTCTGGGGAGACCTTGTAGCAGCCTTCAGTACCTGAAGGGGCTGCAGGAAAGCTGGGGAGGGGGTTTTGGCAGGGGCTTGTAGTGAGAGGACAAGGGAGAGTGAAAACTGGAGATGGAGGTGAGACATTAGGAGGAAAATCTTTGGTGTGAGGGTGGTGAGAGCCTGGCCCAGGCTGCCCAGAGAAGCTGTGGCTGCCCCATCCCTGGCAGTGTTGAAGGGCAGGTTGGATGGGGCTTGGAGCAGCCTGGGCTGGTGGGAGGTGTCCCTGCCCATGCAGGGGGTTGGATCTGGATGATCTATAAGGTCCCTTCCAACCCAAATCAATCCATGATTCTGTGAAGGTGGGCAGAGCAGAGGTGCTGCAGTGTCCCAACAGGGAGGTTACAACCTCTGCTTCTGTGGCTCAGCTCTCACCTCTGAGACTGCAGAGACCTTCTGGGACACATCTCATGCTGTGCTACAAGCACCAGGCCTTTATGTGCAGGACTTCGGTTCCAATGACAAAATGTGTGTTAAGTTTGTTTTAAAGGCTTTGATACTTAATTTTCTCTTTTTGTTTTCCCCCCACAGTTAATGACAACACAAACAGCAGAGTGGTTCTTTGGTCATTCTTTGAAGCTCTGGTATTAGTTGCCATGACACTGGGACAAATCTACTACCTGAAGAGGTTTTTTGAAGTCCGAAGGGTTGTTTAAGAGTACTGTTCTGGTCCTGGATTTCAGTTCACTGTCTACCAAACATCCTGGTCACAAAAAAAGTCATTTAGTTTTCTGAACCCTCTTTACTGAACTGTAAAACTTATACTGCATCTGTTCCTTCTTAGTTTAAAAAAAAAAAAAAAAAAAGAAACAAATTGTTTTTATATATCTTCTGTAGCGAAAGCTGTGCTGAGATCTTGTCCCTTGGTTGGCAACACTTTTCTCACTCCCACCTGCCTAGTCTGTTTGCTGAGCCAGGTCTGAGCTGCAAACGCTGTAACCAGCTGTAGTAACAAGCAGTGTCAGTGTCTTCTAACTTTTTCCCCCTCTTTTCATACTTGGGGTTCTCTCTAGGGAAACGGTACAAGGCCCTGACCTGGCTGGTTGTGTCTTTGACACCTCTAGCCCAGCAGTAGGTGTTACAGGATCCAAACAATCCCTTCTTCACTTCCATTAACTGCCAAGGAGTGACTGGAACTTCATTCTGGTAGTAAGAAGACAGCTGAGGACTTCAGGTCTAGTGTTCATCCCTAGCTGCTATTTAAGAAGAAACTCTTCACTAACTATGCTAACTACATCAACTTATTCCCAAAGTTCTTTTAAATTAAATAGTTGGGATGAAAATGCCTTTTCTCTTCTGGTGACCTTCATGGTTTTCAGTCTCTCACAGGTTTTCTGTGGCAGCCCCTTGTGTGCAGTGTCTTGGCAAACCATAGTTCACCCTTTGGCTTCTGCAGGTCCAAAGCTCAGGCTCTTGGTGCTGCTTTAGTGGTCAGGAAACCCAGATTCCTGATGCCAAAGGGTTCATGATCCTGGGGGTTAATGCTATGCACCCTTGTATTTAAGTTAAGGGCTCTGCCCTCCCTGAGCATCATTAGCATCATGCTGAGTTCTGATGTGGTTTCTTTTTTTCAGGCACATGTAGATTTATTTTTTTGTATAAAGTTCCTTTCCTCGGTTTTCTGATGATTGGTTGAATCATTCAAGCAGCATCTGTTGTGGGTGCTGAGCCAGGATTATGTTGTGACTGATGTATATTAGCTGTAATCATTTTTGGGGGCAGGGGTGGGGTCTTTTCCAAGGGGGGAGCCTCTCCAAGGAACACACAAACAGTTTTGTACAATTAATTTAAAATTTGTTACAGGTTTTCATGTTCCAGGTAAAGGTTTTTCAGCCTTGGGCAAACACTTGCAGCAGTTCCTCAGCAAGGTGGCCGTGACACCTTCTTGTGGCTGTTGTGTGCCAATATTTTTGTGTAAAACACTTCAAATTGAATTCTGAGATGTACATTTAAAAATTGCTTGTGAATCTAAAGATGACCCAGGTTCGAGAAATAAATTCTTTAAAAAAAAAAAGTAAAAAAAAGTAACTCTGTGTGTATCTTTTTGTTCTCTTTGGTGTTTGAAGGAGGCACAGCTGCACGTGGAGCTGTTTTGTGGGGATGTTTTTGGGGCGGGGAGGAGGAATCGCGGGTCACTCTGAGCCTCCCCGGGCACTTGGTGTCAGCTGAGCCCAGAAGCGCTGCCCACGACCGGCCCCTTCCCCTCAAAACACCGATTTTTGTTGCCGTTTTCCACCGCGTCCTGGAGCGGGAGGAGAACCCGGGGGGG